CCTAGAACAGATAATGGCTGTCTATTCTATGAACATTTCTCTATCTGTAGAATGGCTCTGTTTTATTTTTTGTCTTCTTAATTCAGAGGGCCCCTGCCTCTCTTGCCTAGGGCCCCAAAAGTCCTAAATCCTCCCCTGATATAAAAAATACCAACAGGACTGAAAAGGAACTAAAATATGGATAATTTTAACACGATTCCTTCACTGCCTGCTGCTTTTCAGAGATGTTTTGTACACCTTTGTGAATGAGGTATTTAGATGTAATTGAATCTAATTGCCCTATTATGAGCAACTTTAAGGGGATTTATAGGTCAGAAAACGGAACAAAAAAAGCCTAATTAAAATGTGTCATGAAATAGGCATGATCATTTAAATAGCTGACTCATTAAAGGCTGTCCAGATTGTTTTAGAGAACAGGGTCTCCTTAGGGCTGAAAATTATTTTTCACTGAAACATTTTTGGGGGGAAGTAAAAGCATAAAGAAATCAAATGTCTGAGGAGTGCGACAGGAAAACAAACTGATGATGTTGAGAAGATTCTCGCTCAGCTGATGGGATTGCAGTCGCTGCTTAAAGGGGAACACAGTTTTTTTTTACATTTAGCCCTTGATTTTAGGTTATTACATCATGTTCTACTCACCCATATGAGTTTTGTGTCATTTGGAGCCGTTCTAAAGATATTCGGTTCCAGTTATAAGCGCCACTTTGTTTTTAAAAGATATAAATAAAAAAAAATATAACCGTGGATGTCTGGGGGACAGTGATTGGCCTCCATGTTCTGAAGGCTGGCGTACCATAAATGATAAATGATGAACAGTTTAGTTTGTGCCTTCAAGTCGTTGCCCATAGGAAGACGTTACTGGATATAACCTAACGGAATATCTTCAGAACGGCTCCAAATGACACTAAACTCATATGGGTGAGTAGAACAGGATGGAAATAGTAAAATCAAGGGCAAAACTAAAAAAAATGGCTTTCCCGTTTAAGGACCAGCACCAAATGCCTTATAGAATAATTCTGTGACCCCTTTAATAAAAGAAATAGTGACAAAGAAGTTATAAGAAGAAAACTAGTAAACACTACAGGTACCATAGGCTAGGATAAAATGAGGCATGAAACCACATGGATGCAGCTTGGATGGAAACCATTTAAATGCTGTCCCACCTTCCCATCAGGCCATACTGTTGTGTTCGCTGACCAGTCGGGCATGAACGCCTCTGGAGATGTCATGCTGGGAACCATGGATGTTCACCATCAGTGGACCAAAGTAATGCAGCTGCAGTCGTCCCACTGCAACATGTTCCTTCTTACGCTACTTTTCCTAAAAACTCCTCTGAATGTGCTTCCAGTTCTTTCAGCAGCTGCCCAGCTATCGGCGCCTTCAGCAGCAGACAGATTGGTTGAAGGGAAGAATCAGTGACCTCCTGGGTGGATCTGAAGTCATCCAACTGGAGAAGCTGGGACCCATCCAGCTAATCGCTGAGCACTACAGCACGCTCACTACTTTTCACAATAGCCTGATGTCCAGAGGGCTGCGACTTCATCCCAGGAGCCTGCATGGTCTCACCGTGGTGCTGGAAAAGTATGTATTCATTTGACTCTCTGAATAACACAGACAGGGTCCAAAATGAACACCAAACGCGACAACATTTTTCATTTGGCGAGTTAATTCCAGAGCACCATCCGCCACAGTACGAGTAAATGTCCTTTCTTCTTTTAATCTGTCCCTTTGTTCCTCACACGCTGGTAGAGAGAGAGCACATCCCCAACAGTTGGAGCAACCAATCCTTCTAAAAGACAAAATGCTGATGAGGAGAAGGAGCGAGGATCTACTGTCCCCATTGCGAAGAGAACGTTTATTTTTTTTAAATGGGGCTTTCTGGAAAATTCCAAGAAAGTATTAAAAAAAATAATCCTCTGGGCCCTGTTTTCAAGTTTCAAGACGTTTCGATTCCCATCTAGGAAGCTTTTTCAAATCCAAACATCAGAAATGGTGTTTAGTTTAGACTTTATAGAGTGGACCAAAGCAAAGCCTTTTTTTAGGCTTAGAAACATGATG